TGCGCGCCGCCGGTGCCGGTCCTCATGGAACTACGTTTAACCCGAACGCTCGTCGCTAGAGTATCAGTTTGTCAGCCACGCTGGCAAGCTTTTTGGGCACTCGCCCCTCGTCCTTTCAACCACATAGCGCGTCATCACACATGCCACATTTTCGAATCGACGTGACAACGGAGTATGCGCAAACACTGCAAACGTTGCCCCCCCCCCCCCAGCTCAGCAGTTGCTCTTCTTTTGTCACAGACTCCGTGTGTGTGACAAGAGCCCCCTCCACGTAAATACGACCATCCACCACTGCTGGTGGCCCTCCAACTGGTCGCTCCGCCGGGAAGATGACATCCTCTTCTTGGAAGAGGGAAAGGAGGTAGTCCATGAGTGTGACTTCCTCTAAAAAAAAAAAACGAAACAAAAGACAAAAAACAACCAATTTTACATAGCATGACAAAAAAAAAACTTGTATCAGGACAGCTAACAACAGAGCTAGTAATATCTGAGCTAGAACAGGCGGAGCTAGAGCCTCCAAATACCTAATATTGGTTTTGAACAACTACCGTAAGGTGGGGCTATTTGAGACAGTGGGGCTATTTGAGACAGTATTTAAAATTGCTATTAAATAAAAACCACCTAAAATTTATGCTTAATTTTTTGCTCAGGCGATTTAATGCTCGATTCCACACCTCGCTGAGCAAAACATATCACACAAAAATCAAACTATCTTCATTTTATAGCGATTTTAAATACTGTCTCAAATAGCCCCACTGTCTCAAATAGCCCCACTTTACGGTAGCTAATTTGTATTAACCCGCGCCTGGTCAGGCAACCCGCGCCAAAGAGGAGCGGGCATTGTTGTCACAACGTGATTAAGTTAATCTCCTTAATTCAAGTTCTTTGGTATTTAACGTTTGAAGCTGGTTTGAAGAACACATTTGAAGGAAACATGTTTTTGGACAAGTGAGAAACGGCACTCGAGGTGGCCGCAAACCAGGCTATTCGGCCGGTAGCGGGAAAATAAGTTTTTCTTGGATTCCACTTCCACCATTTGGATGAGGGACGATGGATGGGCCTCTTTGATAACTTCTTGTTCCTTCTGTTGCGACTCACCATAGCTGCATGATCCAGAGATAGCACTACAGTGTATGTCATGTGTTTTCTCATTTCATCTCGTATCATTCCTTGGAAATAGCTGGTACCTGATAGTGTACCGACCATGACACTTTTCACGAACCTTGCCTTGAACATGGGGAAGGCGCTCTTATGGATTTGGCCACCATGACCACACATGTACTCTTGAATGGACCCATAGTCGATATTCGGAATTCCAGCCGTGCTTAGCACTCAGACTTGCTAATTCAACCTCCTTTGGAACTGAAAACTGCACCTCTGTTTCACCACTGGGCTCTATGTATGTGGCCAAAATCATCGTTCCTGTCATAAGCGTCGAGGCGCTCCACAATTTAGTCTGAATGCTTTGAATGGTTGGATTTATCTCAGCTAAAACTAGTGATGGAAGCTGAAATAATTTCTGTCAGCTAAAATTCACTGTACAGTGTACTGTCAGCTAAAAAATATTACAGTAGAAGCCTCTATTAAAGTGGACCCTGGCCACGTCTCTTTCTTCCATCAGCTCTAGGAGAGCCAGGAGTGTTTCCTCTCCCAATCCAGCTGCCCTACGACGACGACGACGCGCTGTTCCTGGAGCGGGGCTGCGACCGTCCTGCCCGGCCTCTACTTCTCCGGGGCCGGCAGGTGGCGCTTCAGCGGCGCCGCCCTGGCTAGCGCGCCCCCTTCCGGCCGTCCTGCCGGGACCGGGGCGCTCCGCCGGAGCCACACCACTGGTGTCAGCGCGCGACCTGGCAGCGCCGCTGGGGTCTGTGCTCGGTCCGGCGCGCGCCGCTGGGGCCACGCCACTGGGGCCGACGCGCGGCCCATATTTAGCCACGTATCCAGCCCGGACGATCTTGCACGCAAACTATCGCAGCCCAAGGCCAAACACCGCAACACGTGGACGGTATTGGGAAAAGATGAAAATTGAGAACACGATATACTTGCCAATTTAACTAACCTGAACGTATGAGGCACAATTTGCGATAAATTAATATCATTCACAAATATGTACACATCAAATAGCTGGAGCACCACTCAAGACACTGGTTCTAACACAGAACAAATAAAAGAAGACATCGAATTGCACCTCATCATAGCCACTACTGCCTTCCCGCGGCCTATTTGGGATATTTTATGGTAGACAATTTGGTATAACCGGATGAATACATTATTTAAGTTATTTTGGATTATTGACTTACAGCATGCTTCAACAACAATTTCCATTAAGTAATAGTGCATAATATTATGTATTTACCGCAAAACTGCCCTATAATTTCCAATATTTCGAATTATTATAGTTGAAACTAGACGCCTCCTCGTGTCTACTATACGCTCTCCTACCAAAGCTAGCTTAGTTAGCTACCTAGGTAGCTTATTAAGCTGCGTGCCTTAAGTGTCGTTGCGAACGCGGCTAAGGTCACGCTTCTTGCGGGTCACCTTTGCTACCTTTTGGCGAAGGAGAACCTTTTTCATTGCCTTCCTCTGCCTCCGTTTTCTCATCCGAGCTCGTTGCAATCGAGAAGGCGTTGTGTTTTATCGAGGTGTCTGACAACTTGTCTTACCTCATTTTATCGGATTCTCTCAGCAGCCTGCTGGCTATACGGAGGTTCAACCCAGACAATCCGATAGTCCAAGACATTTTATCTCGGCTCACGTCGGTGGAGCAGTCAGGCAAAACTATTAAGTTTTGCTGGATTCCAAGCCATGTGGGTATAACTGGCAATGAGCTCGCCGACGCGGCCGCGAGACGCGCGGCCGCGGCTCCATGCCTTCGGCGTTTGCCCCTGCCGGCTCGTGATTTTTACCCAGCCATCCAAACCTTCACGATGTCAAGCTGGCAGGCAGAGTGGCATCTCCAAGGATCTGGGAAGCTGCGGAGCGTGAAGCCTACCTTGGAGCCCTGGCAGTCTTGCTTCCAAAGCAACAGGCACCAGGAAGTGGCCCTCTGCAGATTACGTATTGGTCATACGTACGCGACTCATGGCTATCTCCTCCGTGGAGAGGAACAACCCACATGCAGTCGGTGTGCCGTGCCTCTCACTGTCTCTCACGTGCTTTTATCTTGTCCTCTCGCTGAACCGAACCGGACACGCTATCTCGGGCGCATCGCTCCGGATACCACTATCCGCCACCTTCTGGGTGACGACTCACCCTGGGTTTTATCCGGCAATATTTTTTCCTTTATCCGCTCGATCAACTTCCAAGCGATTTACTCGACCTGACATTAAATCCAACTAGTCCTCTCTAGTCCTTACATCTAGTCAGTTGTCTAGGACGACACTCTTGCGCTGCTTTATCTTACCTTGCTGTTTTATATCGAGTCTTTTACTTTTTAGTCTTCGTATCTAGAAGGTTCTCTCTTTTGACACACTTGTTTTATTAAAACGACGTTATGGGCGCAAAATGACCTAAGTAGTCGGCGCGCCCTAAAGCCCCAATTAACAAACAAACAAACAAAGAGCTGCTCAGTTCTCATGTGACCATATTTCTCCATGATTTTTCCTAAAAAACTTAAATCGCTTAACTAACACCAACAACCTCTCCTCTCGATCATCTATCTCACTGTACAGGGAAACGCAGTACAAGACGCCATCAAACTTACTGTGAATTATTATATTTTTTAATGTGACGTCAAAAATCACAGGGTACTATTTTGATTGGCAGGCATGTTATATATGACGTCATTGCTAAAAGTGTTTTACATTTGTGTGAAAACGGCGCAAGCTTGCGCCAGGTTTTGTCTACGTGGATGCTTTTCGTTCGATTTCCACATGGACTGGAACGGTGGTCCTGCCATCTGGCGGCAAAAGTTTTGACATGCCCCATTGATTAGGTACTGACAACAAACTGAAAGCCAACGTTTCCCTTTGCCTCCGGTTGGCACGATATTCAGCGCTGCCGGTGCTGACGTTGAAGTTGAAGTTCGCGATGATGTTCATGATGTTCCCTTGCCTGTGTAACTTCTTTATCAGGTCATAAACTTTGTCCCAATTTATCTGCAACACCCTGTAGGTACTTGCCTGTGATTTGCCTTTGGATAATGTTTTAGGGACAGATATTCCGGGCACTGTTGTGATGGGTCTGGTATGCTTTCGAGATGAGCTGTGAGACTCAAAAGCAGCCGGTTTGCCGATCGCGTGACTAGTGTATGTGACATTCATTGATAAATTGTAAGTGCACTTCGTCCGGCATTGTGTGCTCGGGGAACGAAGTTTGTTGACGTTTCACAGTTGATGACGGTTCAGTGGACGCTGTGTGTCGATACCACATCACGTATGTGCCACGATTTCAATAATGTTGTAATGTCTGTGATAATTATGCACTGCCCACCGTGTTGCTGACCAACTTGATGTTTTGATTACAATATATGGACAGGATTGTATTGTAGTTTTTTTGTAGTCTGGTCTAACGATGTTGCACTAGTTTGCTTCTTAACATCCAAGGAGTTTGGCTCATTAAGCGTTAAGAACAATACCTTGTGACCGTACTGTCGTCATGTACGCGCCCTTCAAACCCTGTTGACCTTTGGCCTTGAAGCCTCCTTCGAACTGAGAAGGTCACCTGGCGAGTTGCTGTTCAACCAAACAGACGTCAGCGTCCGCCAACAGTCACGGTGGGTGCGCAGTTCTGCTCAGTGGTACCTCCATCGGGCGAGTACACTGTGACTCACTGTTCCAGCCGGTACCTGCTCTCTGACCACCCCAATGCCAAGGTAGCTAAGCAGCTCCGTGACGCTGCAGCCCACAAGCAGAGCCCACCTGGGAACTCCGGGCGGCAGTCAACACGTCTGTGTGGTCACTGAGCCAGGACACACCTCCCCAAACATCCTGATGGCGGCGTAGGACCTCAGGCGGATCTGCCGGACGGCGGCAGCTATAAAGGCTGGAAGGCCTCAGGAAGGGAAGCAGTGGATAGAGTCCGAGTGAAGAAGGTGTATCAGGGAGCTGTGCCCGGTGTTATCCTCGGGTCAGACTTTGAAAGGTAAGTGTTTGGTGCTAACTGGGTGGGTCGTGCGAAAATCCAATACTTGTTTGAAGGACCAACTAAATGTTTAGTGTAGTGAGGTCTTCAGATCGTTCTTTATTTTTCAGTAAAAAGTTGAAAGTTTTCGTAGAAAACATACGCCTTCATTCGTAGCTGCTCAACATTGGTGTTATCCCCGCGTAATTATAAAGAAGTCTGCTTTGTGAGCAATTCTCATTTCAAAGTCTACGATACCCGACGCTTCGTTGACGCTAAAGGTTGAAACAGACTCTTTCCGCGTTCAGGAAATCGCATGCGAGAGCCTATTCAAATACATAATAATTCGTCTCGCATCAATCGCTTGCGGGAGGTGCGTGCGATTGATGCGAGCGTGCTTCCATGTATTTGATTAGGCTCTCGCATGCGATTTCCTGACTGCGGAAAGTCTGTTTCAGGCTTAACCCAAGTTACTGTTGACCACGTATACCAGGGCGTCGTGTGTGGCCGTGCTGTGTGCGGACTGCTGTTAGTGCGCCGTCCTCTGACGCCACGCCTCTGTCTGTGCCCCAGCCGCCCAGAATGCAGGTGCTGCTGCCGCTGCTGGTGGCGCTCGCGCTGTGTGCCGAGCTTAGGGCTCAGTTCTGGCCGGGCGCGGTGGTCGGGGCGGGTATCGCGCTGGAGTCGGCAGGGATCGGCTACATCGCCGGCCGGGCGTCGCGGCGACACCACCACCACCAGTGAGTCGGGAATCAGACACCCTGAGGGATCCCGGGGGAAGGCAAGGGTTAACCACACTGATATTTATACCTGAGTGAGGACAGGGCCAGCGTGACCACTGAGCGGACCCGGCACACCAGCTAAAATGAGACTATGACGCACTTTGAGGTCGTCTTTCCTCTACAGGCAAAATCTCCTGTCGCCTCTTCAGCAGCCCCCGCTCTCAAGGTCTAGCACCCTCCCCTCCCCTCTTCCACAACCCGGTTTAACATCTCTCCCTTTCGACAGCCACCACCGCGGCTACTACGGCCGTCGGCGCCGTGCCGCCGGCCTCATCAGCCCGGTCCCCACTGCAGCTGAGCTCTCCGCCGGCGGCCCTTCAGTGGACGAGGACCCCGCGCTGACGGCGGCGCTGGAGGCCGCCGAACTGGACGCCTATTTCCGCGTGATCGCCGCTGAGGACCTGCTCGACTGCGGCCTGAGACTGGTCTGCGAACTGGGTGCGGAGGAGGAGCTGGGTCGGATGGATGAACGGCAGCGCAATGTGATCGCCTTGTTCAGGTCAGTGAGGGTCGGGGTTGTCACGGGGAGCTGAATATGTTGGTCGAGGGTTACACTCGTACAACACAGTCTGTGAGCTGTAGAATAGGACCTGTGTGAGGTTTGGAGTGTGAGCCACTTTGGTAGATCGAGGCATACACTGATGGGTGTAAAAGTTAATTCCTCCTTTTCGTACCATGTAACTAAGTCACATGTGTTGTCATTTGCCGTCTTTTATTCCTTGTTCCAGGATAAACACAATATTACATCTATCGCCCATTTTTAAGAGCTCTGTGTACTTACGATAGCCACCCTGTGCTGACGCCTGACAGTACACCTTCCTTCCCTGTACCACAGGTCCGAGGTGGCTACACTGGGGAGCACCATGAGTCCCGCCAGGCAGCGTTATGTGAGCGCCTTCCACCGTGGGCAGAGCAGCGGGGAGGCAGAGCGCTGTGGGGAGATGTTCCCGCTCTGTCCGGCCAGCGGCCAGGAGATCATGGCGGCCCTGAGGACCGTCAGTCGCTGATGACAAACCGTCAGCCGATGAGGGCGGACCGTCAGTTGCAGAGAACGGATCGTCAGCTGCTGATGACGGACCGTCAGTCGCTGATGACGTGTCGTCAGTCGCTGATGATGTCTGATGGGAGAGGGAGCTAATATGTGGTGAAGCGGGAGCTGATGATGGGCCCACGGTAGGGACAAGTTACTACTAGCGCCCGGATGGGTCCTGCAGCTTGTGCTGCCATCTGGTGGGGCGGCAGTTGATGACGCCCGATGGCCGTTGAGGTGCATGGACGTCTGTGGATGATGGTGATGGATAGTGCCGTGAGATGACGAGTCTGTCACAGACTGACGGCTCACTGTGAGCCATACTGTCGGCTGATTGTTACTGTCATTACGTCTAATATGTTTCATAAAGTCATTAACCCGCGCCCGGCTGGGGGTCCTGGATTTCCACGCCCTGCTGGGGGGGGGGGGGGTGTTTGAACACCCCCCCTTGTAACTCGGCTCCTGGGCCACGTAGCGATACGCGGAAGGCGGCATTCGAAAGAGCGTCAAAATTAATGACGAAATCACTTCGGTCAATTTTTTGGTCAGGTCAAAGGTCAGGTCACTAGAGGTCATTGAAGGCAAAATTTCGCCGATTTCCAGGTCGAATGTCGAAAATTTCCAAGAAGCCAACGCATAACTCGAGAACCAATAGAGCTACAGCGCCGCGGAAAAGCGCATTCGATAGCTCTATTAAAGCCCTTTCTGAGTAATTCTCTCAGATTTGACCTAACGTCAACGGTTTTGCCTGCAGGGGGCAAAAACTGCAAAAATAGCCGATTTTTTCGGAAACAGTTTTTCTGCAATAACTTTTGACCCAAGCCTTGTACGAGCTTACTTTTACCGGCAATGTGTTCCTCTCGTCAAGACGCATCGAATGAACTATAAGTTGACCTTGAAAGGTCAACTTGAAAATTTGACCTCAGGTCAAGGTCATGACCTGACCGGAAAGGGTCATGTTGCATATCATTCGATCCGTATCGTCGAGCTGAACACATCTAAGGCGTTTTCATCGCTCTAGTATGCCTCTATCAAAAGTTATTTGCGAAAAACTGTGAGATACCATTCGTGACCTAAGATGACCTCAGGGCATAAACAAGGGTCACGGACACCATTTTCATGTTCAGTGTGTCTAAACCACTTGTAATTCGGTGTTTGGGAGTGTTTATAATGTCTTTTGTCCAAAAGAGGCGCATTTCAATTTTCCCCCATTGACTTATAATGGGGAGGTCGCAAAATTGACCTGACCTTAGGTCATCGATATCAAAATTCTGAGATATACATTTTGTACATGCTATTGCTCTTAGCAATCGCTGAAAGTTTCAAAGCGATCGGTCACTCAGTGTAGCTATGACAGACATTGAAACTTTTTATGAGGTGTGGTCACTTCAAGTGACCTGGTGACCTGACCTTGAATGACCTTGGTCCGAAATTTTCACAACATGTGTAGAATTGATGTATGATAAGGTGTACCAAAAACGGCGGCGCTCCGCGCCGCCGTTTTTGAGATATTCGCGAAAAACCACCACAAGGGGGGGTGTTCAAACACACCCCCCCCCCCCCCAGCAGGGCGCGGGTTAAATGACGACAGTACCTGTCACTTGTGTGGTATATCGGGTATATCAACATCATGTGCTGCATACCATGACAACTGTATGTAGCCTGGTGTTTAATAATCGCTTGTGCAGCTCAACGCTTGACCTGTCAACTTGGACCCAATAAACGTTCTGTAGCTAACGTGTGGTCGCAGCTTTGTCAGTTGTTGGTAATGGGCATGCATAGCCCCTACTAATTGGGGCTTGGGAGGGAGAGAGGGAAGCCTGGCTCTATGCCTTCGTTCTCGTCATCGACTTCATTGACACTGGCTAGAGATCATCTCGGAGCGGCACAAAAAGCGACCGATACTGCGGAGCGAACCCAGCCTTCGTTGACTGACTCGAGCGCTGATGGCACTGAAGGAGGTAGCTTAGTACACAATGGAAACCACAGTGCGCCACTTTTAGATACGATCAGCTCGGCGAGAAAGCAGTGGCGATTCAGGACACGCCTTGCATGATACAACTACCGGTGATCCGACCAGTAAATAATGATACGGTTGATGTTTTTATGTTTATTTATAAAAGTGCACTCAGCATACACATAACAAGCACCGTAAATCATACTTCAATACTGAACTTCCAAGTAACCAGCCACATACGCGGCACTAGCCGTTATTAAGTACAATACTGCTGGAGTATTTCAACGTTAACTATCGTCTGTACAACATAACATCATCCAAACGACATTATGACTATTGACTAATTTTAAGGAAAACTGAACGTCCATCCGCCTTACATGCACAAAGAATGTATCAACTCTAAATCCACCAAAGATAAGACGGCACTTTGACTTTAAAGATAAGACGTCTTTGGTTGCTAAGAAGTAAGAATCGCTCCGGGCAACACAAAATCACAACTGACAACATATGACGAATCACCACAATGCAATGGTTGGAACTGTCACCATCTATAGTAGGCTGAAACTCGCTCACCAATACAACGCACGTTAGCCTCTAACAAATCGACCTCGCTGCGTTTGCGTTCCCGTCGCCGACCGTGGGGGGGGGGGGGGTGCTCGGTCGGGCCCCCACCGGTCCTTGATGTCCGATACAAGTGCTAACTGAACTTCCGTAGACCCGCTGCTGTGCTCAGACCAGTGGCTCTGAGCTCTTCACAGAGCTATCGAATGTTTGGTTGAGCTATTATGGGGGAGCGCTATAACAAACAGCGAAAAAGTCGTATCAAAAACATCAATATGACTTTCTTCTCAAATGACTAACTGAATCTCAGATGTTCGAATTATAACATACCTTCCGCGGACTTCGGACAGCAAGGCATTGTTTGTACACCACTCTGGCACCAACCTGTAGTGCCGTGACCACCTCCCTTCACATGCATTCCCGACAATCCTTTCTCGGACGGTCTCGAGCCTCAGAGCTCAGAGACAACCCATACTCTCCTCACAGGTTCTCGGCGGCGGCTGGCTGGGTCTGCGAGGCCTGCACCAGCCTCATGATTGTCTTGCTACCGAACTGGCAACTCGAGTAGAGCTCGGCACACGAGGCCAGGCCGCTCTTGAAGCCGACGTAGGCGGCGTACCCGTACCGTCCGTGAGCGGTGTCCAGCGCTGCGGCCGGCACCGGCCCGGGAGTCGGTCTGCATGGGGAGAAGGGGATGTCAGTGGGCGGGGCGAAGAGTTAGAAGGTGGCGATTCGTTGCATCTATCGACAAGTCTCTAAGCACAGCTATGCAGAGAGCCAGTTTTTTTTTTCAATTGACATGTTACGAAACCAACGGTTTGGTCACTTAACTGAATTTGTCAGCGAAGCTTTGGCCCATGACCCAATAAATGATCTCGTCAACCGTGAGATTTCATACTGGGCAACATGTAAGATTCAAGATTGTGACCCCTCTACTGACCCTGCCGCGTCCCTTTCACCTCTCCTCTCGGACCCTTTGACGGTGACCCTGTGACCCCTCTACTGACCCTGCCGCGTCCCTATGACCCATCCTCTGACTCTTTGACGGTGACCCTCCGATCCCTCCACTGACCCGAACAGGCTGACGATGAGCCGGCCGAAGTCGCTCAGTTCCGCTCCCGAAGCGGCCTGGGCTTCCAGCTCGCAGACCACTCTCATCCCGCACTGGCCCTTGTCCTGGGCCATGATCTTCTCAAAGTCGCGCTCCAGGTCGTCCTCAGGCTCGGTGGAGCGGCGACGGCGCTGCGCAGAAAAGATAAAACGTTATTAAAAGATGAAACGTTAAGCTGCAGCATCATGTCGTATTGCATCGTGTCTTATCTTCTTTGGGTTTAATGCGTCTTCAGTTAGTCATGAAATTTAAAATACTGGAACACCTTTGATAAAGATACGTAATTATAAACGAAACGACAGTATCAGCTATTCTCGTATGCGTACTTCAGATGACTAACAGTACATGTTTCGGATTCAGTTTGGTACTTACGTAGTAGTACTGCTGCTGCTGGTAGTACGGGTCGTAGTTGTAGTAGTTGTAGGACGGGTACGCGTACCGGTACCGGTTCCTGTAGCGGTTACGGTTCTGAAAAAGATCCATAGCAGCCGTCAGTAATGGGTGCTGTGTGGGTCAGTAATGGGTCGGGATGTAATGGGTCGGGATGAGTGCTAACGAGTCATAACGCGGCAACGTGAAGCATAAAGTACATCACTTCCTCGTAATTAGTAGAAATCAGAGAAAACCAGAGAAGGAGGGAGCTGAGAGCGAAGGGAGAGATGATAGCAGAAAGGTGACCGCAATAGATAGGGAGATGGGGAAAAGAGAAAGACAAGAGAAAGACGGAAATACATACAAGCGATAGACAGGCAGACAACTAACCGTCCGTTGTTAGGACAATGGACGGACCACTGAGCTTGTACTAGCTGTTACCCTTTTTCTCTCAACTGGGGACCGGGACGCAGACCACAGACTCCGGACCGGCCCTCGTCTCCGGTCGCTCACCTGATGCTGTTTGATGGCGATGGCTCCCAGGCCAACCACTGCCGTACCGGCCAGGGCCAGTGTGGCTCCGTTCACCACGCCCTGTGTGTAGGCGTCCTGGGCGGCCACCCAGCCCAGGGCACACACCAGCACCGCTACGTGGCTCAGACGCATCCTGCCGGACGGGGACAGCGTTAGAGCCAACCGGGGACAAATTCACAGCTCGGTACGGGAGAGGCTCACATTTCGATACCGGATTGATTTACTGCTCTGTATGGGCTACGGACGGTTTACCAAAACTTGACATTGAAATGACTTATTTAGATAGTAGTTCTGTCACGCCAGCACCAAACAACCACAACGCATGTCGCAATAAATGCCCATGAAAGGTGTGAATTAACTGCAAAATCGGTGCTCAGAGGCACCGTGACGGCTGATGACGTCACTATTTGGGTCAGCGGTCAGGTCACTGACAGGCACCGAGCTGGTGAAGGTTCCTTAGGCGCCAAGGTCGCACTGTCGCCCCTCAGAGGCGCCCATGTGACGACCCAGTCCTGCATTGGGGCCAGTGGCGGCGGAAGCGGGGGGGCAGCGGGGGCACGGCGCCCCCCCATCTTCCAGGGTGGGGGGGGCAAACATATCTTTTTGCCCCCCCCCCCCCCAAATTGTTATCGACGAAGTACCACAATACTTCCATACTACCTACGTCAGGAACATATGCCAGTTTGGCTGATTACCTTTTTATTAAGTTGATATAGCGAGTAACTTGGATTGATAATAGCCGTTTTCACGACGGGCTATCCGGCGAGCTAGTCCGTGACGGACTATTTCCACCAAACGCCCTCCACACATAGGGGAGACCCGGGAGGTATGGGCCGGTTTTGTGAAAAGGCAATTTTCTTCCAGTGGGCAGTGGCTAGACCCGGTTTTTCACTTTGTGTACGTGAAATTGCCTTTCGCCTGCAACGTGTGCCTGATATTATGCATCTGGGATCAACTATTTTGTCTC